TTTTATCACCACGTTCTTACTCATAGCCACTGAAACGATACAGCATCCAGCTTGCATCAGGAATGAGGGGGTGGAGAAGAGAGGTATTCTCCAGCTCCCTGGCAGCATGGAAGGGGCCCAGAAAAGATGGCTTCTTTTCAGGCCTGGATCCAGCATTCACTACGGCGGGCCTCACTCAAAGGCCAAGGGCGCATCAGATGCCTAGGTGTTGTGTGCAGAGGTAAACTGAGTCAGGCATGTGCGCATAGGTCGCATTCTGTGGGTTCCGGAAAGCTCAGTGTTTGGCTTTAAGCTTACCCAATCCCTTCATCCTCCCATCCCAATGTTGCAGCTGAAGTTCTGAATGATTTGGACTCTCAGAGCAATCTGTAGAAAGGTGTCTCCCAGGAACACAGACAAAACTGCAGGACTCATCTGTGTCTGGGCAGCGTAGTGAGATCTGAGGTGGGTGCATAGAGCTCATGAGACTCAGGTTGGCTCAGGCCTAATACCTGGACAGGCCATTTTGTTTTGCTTTGTTTTTAGCGCCTAAGATCCTGGCCCATGAACAGCTCCATGCAAAAGTTCTCTGCCTGCTTGGGCATGCACCTGATGTGACCACGTTTCATACCCTCCCTCGTCCAGCTCATTTTATAGCTGTGGACACTGTCTACCCAAAAATGTCAGCACAGAACACATCACCAGCTAAGTGAGGATCACAATTCAGATCAGAACCGAGAGATCTCTTGGTTGAACACTGGTACTTTCTCTACTTTATCTCATGGTCACACCTTATTTTTTTTTCTTTCTTGTTGGTGAAAAGCAGACGACGTCTTCCACTTCCAATTGATGTAACCATTTGTACAACCCAGCAAGTACAGGAAAGTGTTCTCTCATGTGGGCAGCAGTTCAAAGATTTTTTTTAAACCAGATTATGCAATTATCTCAGTGCACAGCATTATGTAAGTGTACCTGAAAAACAGGTTATTACAAGCAATAAAACTAGAAGCTTGCAGTTGATTCACTTCTTACATATTTCCGAACTTTGCAAAGGATTGTAATATCCACTAGGCTGTTTTCTTGCTTAGCTGAACATTGTATTAACGGTAGACAGTTCTTCACAGAAGGACAAAGGAAACCCAAGGAAAGCTAAGGATGCTTTCATCTTAAGAAGGGGAGAAAAGGATTTCCTTGAGGCACTTTACACTGTCGCTTTGAAACACTAGTGATAGTGATCAAATATTACAGCATTAGTTACTAAGCTTACTGAGAGTCTGTGGAGGTGACAACAACCCTTATGCAGGGTTCTTAAACAGCATGTCTGACTAGCTGGCTAACAATGACAATGACACATGCCGATGTGTGGCTTACAAGGCATGCATACAACATGCTGCTAGCTGACTCTTGGGTTTAATACATCCTCAGAGCTTTTCCCTGGTCCATCCTGAAATATAGCTTCCGAGGGACCAGTGTGTCTGCTGTAGCTCATGGTTATTTGGGATGCCCCCACAACTGACCCAGACCAGCCAGTCCCTCACCCCACACCGCCCTGGATGCTGACGACCTATGGCGAACGCAGTCAGGATTCAGGGGCAGAAGGTGCAGTCTGTCCACGCAGGCTCCTGTTACTGCTCTGCTCCTGACAGCCCTTCGTTCTTTCCTGCTGTTGGGTTTTCAAAACCACTGAAGGCTAAACCAATGTGAGAATCTTAAAGAAGTTTAAAAGAGAGACTCAGCAAGAACGCCTCCATGAACGCCTCCGTTCTGTGGAGAGGGGAAGTCGGTCGGAGGGCTGGGGCTTTGGGCGGTCTCAAGAGGAAAACACCTTCAGATCACACATGGCAAAGGCCGTTCTGGGGTAGGGCATCCTCTCATTTCTGTTTGCTATAAAGACAAAACATCTCACCAGGAACTTATTTCCATGTGCATTTTCATTCCAATTTTCTTTCCCACTTGAAACATATTATTCAGTATCTTAACCTTTTCTTGGGAAATTTACAACACATGGTTTTACCCAAAAGACAGTTGAAAACACATAGTCTTCAATGGAAAAGAAATGAGTCTGCTTTCCTTGCAGTGCCTCCCATGCACAGCTGGATCATTTTCACGGTGTTCCCTCTGAGGAACTTAGCAGAAGGCACATGGGGGTCATTTTCATGGGACTCAACCTTGAATCTAACATCATTTCTTGACTTAACCAAGCTATTTTCTGTGTTGCTCACAGCAAGCTTCTTCATGACGTGGAGGGGCAACTCATGCTTGGCAGAGGGCGAGATGATCAGATGCTGTGTAATACCTCACTGCTGAAGTCCTAGAGCCACCTGCTTGGGTTCCTGGTGTTAGGGGACATCCAGGATCTCATTTGTCCCAGGTGGCCCCACTGTGAGCTGCACAGGGCTCTTCACGCCTCATCTTGACCACGAGAGCAAGGGAACCTCTCTTTAGTCGACTGGGCAAGCGCTGGAATCAAACTCCCACTGCCAAGATCACATGGGAGAGCCCCCCAGTGCTCACCTTCCCGGGCTGCACTGACTCTGTGGGCTGACTCTGTCACGCTGGGCTCTGCACGGGCCAGATTTGGCCTTCACACTGGGCTGTGGATGCTCTGACCTCCAAACTGGCCACTCTGTTGTTCATTATTCCACCTTTTTTGTCCTATGTCCTTTCTGAGGAGGTAAATAATCCCTGGAAACTCGCCAGGCTCCTTCTTGGCATGAGCTCCAGTCAAGTCAGGCCCCAGAGTTCTCAAATCAGGCCCAAGAAGACAGAACCTACATGGTCATCGGCCCTTAGAAGGGCTGGTAAGCCTTTACCAGATCACCAGAAAAGTACAAATGTTTCCCTACATTTCTTATTAATAACCTGAAGTACAGAGAGCAGAGCAACCTGAACTTTGCCCAGGTCTTGTGTGACTTGATGAAAACACCAAAGAGCATTTTGCTTGTGACTCTTGGTTCATTTTATAAACTACATGGATGGAAAAGAGAAAGGTGTGAGGGGAGAGGCACCATCCACTCCAACGCAGGCTTGCTGGTTTGCCACAGGAACAGAAACAAATGGGAAAGGGGATGATGTGACTCAGGGGGCGCTTGCTTCACAAATATGAATAAACATGTTCACTAATACCTATGTTTCACTTAAAGCATACATCTTCAAACGCTTACTATTTTTTTTTAAGATTTTTTTTTTCATTTATTTGACAGAGAGAGACAGCGAGAGCAGGAACACAAGCAGGGGGAGTGGGAGAGGGAGAAGCAGGCTCGCCGCTGAGCAGGAAGCCCGATGCGGGGCTCGATCCCAGGACCCTGGGACCATGACCTGAGCCGAAGGCAGACGCTTAACGACTGAGCCACCCAGGCGCCCCAAACGCTTACTATTTTTGATTATCAGGCTTTGCAGACATGAATATTCTCAATCTGTCTCACAGAGACCTCTTCCCCAGCACTGGCCATCACGCTGAGCAGACCCCTGCAGGAAAAGCCTCTCCCTCCGGCGGAACCATGGGAGATGATGAGAGCCAACAGCAGGTTGTGCTTTTATCTAAATGGAGTGATTCTTCAACCACGCTGGTTATGTTTTCCAAGACACGTGCCCATGCCTCATGGCAAAGACTCTTAATATCCTCTCATTTAACAAGTGCTTGCCTCTGAACTACTGGAAAGAAAGAGAGCCAGGGTTACTTCCAAAGAATGTTTCCAGTGCCGCATTTTACTCCTCCCCAGAGGAGACACCTTTCAGCAGTAGTTCAACAGAATTACCATAAAGATCATCACAACGCTCTGCATTGAGTATTGGACATGAAACAAGCCACCCCTTACTGACTGTGTTTAGTCAGAAAGGGTGAAGTGTGTTCTGTTGGCTCTAGTACTGACAGCAGGACTCGGCACACGAGCAGCAGGTGAGGAGTAGAGGCAAGTGTTGGAGGAGGTGTGGGTGCAGGAACAGGTGCAGGTGCGGGTGCAGGAGCAGGTGTGGGTGCAGGTGCCGGAGCGGGTGTGGGTGCAGGAGCAGGTGTGGGTGCAGGTGCCGGAGCGGGTGTGGGTGCAGGAGCAGCTGTGGGTGCAGGAGCAGGTGTGGGTGCAGGAGCAGCTGTGGGTGCAGGAGGTGGGAACAGATGTGGGAGCAGGTGTGGGTGCAGGAGGTGGGAGCAGGTGCAGGAGGTGGGAGCAGGTGTGGCTGCAGGAGATGGGAGCAGATATGGGTGCAGGAGGTGGAGCAGGGGTGGGGGGAGGAAGAGGAGCAGGTGTGGGTGCAGGAGCAGGGGCTGAGGGGAGCATGCAGTCGGGGGCTGCCTCTGCGCCAGGTGGCTTTCTGACCTTGGGCAGCTCCCTTACTCTGAGCCTTTCATCCTGGGGGATGTCAGGGTGTTTTACTGGATGATCTGACAGATAGTTTCCAACATGTTATGATCGAAAATTTTTATTTTCTTAAGAGGAAATTACCCTGAGTCTGTGAAGTAGATTCCATCAGAATGTTCCCTGATTGAGCTCCTTCTTCCACATGGCATTTCCTTTCCACGTCCCCTAAAGTGACAGGGCAGACATAGGGGTGGGTGAGCCGCCTCGGCAACAGCCAGCTGCGAGATGTTGAGGATCTCAGTAGTTCAGGGCTTTGGAGCGCTCTGGGATGCTCCGTCCCTCCTTTTGCTTTCCATCGCGTTGCCATGCGACTTTACGAGGTGTCAGAGACCCAGCAGACCACGGAAGGCGATAGGGCCCTGCCCTCGGCCTGCCGGGTGAGGGAGCTCAGGCCTAGAATGGGAATCCCCACAACCTGAGAAAGGCTACTCATTTCCCCCAGTCAACACGAGTTTTAGAGGATATCTTAATCAGAATGCTTCTTTGTTCTTCAATGGCTGTTCCTCTGCCATTGTGTTTTTTTCCCCAACTTCTAGTTTTTAAAAACTTTACACCTTGAGAAAGCTGAAAGAGTACTTCAGCACTTGGCCACATCTGCTGTTTCTCCCTCATTCACACACAGATGCACGCAAACATCCCTGTATAGGTGTGTGTGTGTGTGTTTGTGTGTCTCTGTGTGTGTTTTGGTATTTATTTTAGCTTTTATTTTTTTATTATTTTTTAAACTTTTTATTTAAATTCAATTTAGTTAACATATAGTGTATTATTAGTTTCAGGGGTAGAACCCAGTGATTCGTCAGTTGCATATAACACTGGTGCTCATTGCGTTGTTAGGTGATTTTGAAGGCAAAATTGTAAGTGTCCTGACATTTCACCCCCAAAATGCTTCCACACGCTTCCCCCTACAGGGCCAGACCTCTTGGCAACCACAGTCATGAACACAGCCTGGAGGTTTAGCATGTATATCATGTTATTTAATTTTGGGTCCATTTTACAATTTCCCATTCTCCCCAAATATCTTTTAAACTGTTTATTTTGCCCAATCCACGATCCAGTCAAGGATCAAGGTGTGCAGCCAGCTGCCACATCCGTGTAGGGTTCTCTATCTAATCAACCGTCCCCTGTTGCTGTGTTTACAGCATTCACACTCATGAAAAGAGCGGGGGGCCGTGGTCCCATAGATGTTCCTCAGCCTGTACTTGTCCAGTTGTTTCTCCACCATTAAAGGCTCAGATGAAATGTGCTCAGGAACAGTACTCCACACATGAGCCCAGCACTCTGCCGTGCATTGTCTCAGGACGCCTGGAACGCCAACGTGTGCCCTTCTGGAGCTTTCAGCCTCTGTCCGGAGACCCCCTTGGTGTGGACGATCTTTCTCATCAGCACTTGGAGGCATGCCGGTTCAGATTATTTTGTGGCCTTCCCCCCAGTGGTCTCACCATCTTGAAGGAGAAATAGAAAACAAATTACCAGCAAAAAAAATAACATTTCTTTGCCTCTTTCTCTCCACATTGTTCATTAAATCTCCCAAGAAAATGGGACAGAGAGATGAATTCAGCTGTGCGCTGGGTGCGGCTCACCAGTTCGGGGGGGGGGGGGGAAGGTGTGGCTTCCTGCGGATGAAGTGCTCACCTCTTCGAACAGGTGCGTTCTCAACCTTCCGCTCAGCACAGTTAGACCTTCTCACAGACGACCAAACCTCGGTACGTGGTCCTCTTCTGATCCTGTGACTGGAGGTCAGAGCCACGGGACAATGAGAAGACTCCGGCGTTACTCAGAAGCCTGCATGTACTGGCATTCTGCCTCTTCCAGCAAATCCTCAGGACTGGGATCCCAGCAGAACTTGTGTCCCCATTTTCTGGAGGAAGACACGGCGGCTCAGCCAAGTTAGCTCCTGGTGCCAGAACACACAGCAGCAAAGCAGCAAAGCCTGGGTTTCAGTCCCTCTGCATTTAAAATGCCACCATCTCTTCTTCTTCATGTTTCTTCCTCTTTCTTCTCAACACCCGACATACAATATGCCTCTTGGCTCATTTCTTCATTTTCTGGTCCTTCTATTAGAGAGGAAGCTCCCTGTAGACACAGCCTGGTGTGTAGACGGCTGTCGGTACTTATCTGCTGAAGACATGGATAAATCAAGTTGATCTGCCTCCAGAGCGCAGGGTTTCTGTTTATGCTGCTTAGCCCATGTTGGTAAGAAAGACGGTCTCTCTCTGGGTGATGCTAACCAGTCGATCTGCAGCAGAGTCTCCCTTTACTCCAAGGGGCCAGTGCTGAATGGAGTGAGCAAGAGCGAGAAGTCCTAGGAGGTGAGGATGGAGAGCCCAGGGACCTTCCAGGCCAGCACAAGAGCTCGGGCTTTGACTCTGAGACAAGGGCGAGCCATGGGCAGGCTCAAGTTCCCAAAGGACCATTGGCTCTTATGGTGAAAAGCATCTACAGCTGAGCTGTCCAATCAGGAACCAGCTGCCACACGGGGCTCCTTAAATTTAAATTAACTAAAATTAAATAGATGTAAAAGTTAGTTCCATTAAAGGAATAACTAATGAAATTCAAACAAAGTCAGCAGTTTGGTTAATAACACACCAATGCTGGTGTCTTAGATTTGACAAATGTACCATGGCAATGCAAGATAGAGAAACTGGGTGAAAGCCATGCAGGCACCTCTCTACTATCTTGGCAACTTTCCTATAAATCTAGAAGTATTCCAAGTAAATAAAAAGTAAAAAAAAAAAAAAGAAACCCACAAGTAGTTCCTCAGTCACACTACCCCACTTCTAGAAGCCACAGACACAGAACATCATCATCAAGGGGAGTTCTGCTATTCAGTGCCATCTGGGAGCAAGAAAGGGCAGAGGCAGGAACGCTGATCTGGGGGTACAGGCAGTAAACCAGGGACCTGGGCTGGAGTGGAAGTTGCAACAATGTTGTCACATTTGCAACAATGTTGTCACATATCTCAAGTACGTTTGAATTAAGCTACCCCTCACCCCTCTAAATGTGAGAACATTTTGACCACAAATTCTGTGTCCAATGTAGAGGAGGGTGTGCTCATGCTCCAGAAGCAGAGGCTGAAAGTTTTTCGGCTTCCTGGGGGTCATGGGCAACCTGTGCCAGGACCCCAGAAAGACACCAGGCACCCTTCCGGCAATACTCCCCACCCAATTTCACCTGCATGCTCCTGATGCCTCCTTACCTACTTGCTCCCCCGCTGGACTTCGGGGGAGCCCCCTGACCTGTCGCTGCCAGCAGTGAATCAGGAAATCATGAGAAAACAGAGATCAATTCCCAAAATATCCTGTTTTAACTTAAAACACATAAATACATATTTATTTTGCCAACTGTTTTGGGCAGGGCCAAGGGCTTCTTTGAATGGGAGTCTACTTTCTTCTTTGGTTAAACCATGGCTCTGCGTACTGGGCCGTATGAAGGTATTTTCAGTTGCAAGTGACTCAAACTGATATAAGTAATAACGAATTAATTATCTCTCCTACTAAGAGCTCCAAGAGCTCCTGCTGGCCTCAGAGTTGTTGCCCAGCAGACTCACAGTGCCACTCTGCTCAGCAATCTGTAACATTAGCTTCGTGTCAAGTACGTCTTTCCTGAGGGTCATAAGGTGAAGCAGGACTGCGTATATTTAGCTGGAAAGTGAGAACTCGCCCCATTACAGAACCCTATACTTCCTCTCATCTAAGATGCCCTCCATTTCCAATGCTATTGACATGAGAGAAAATGTGCATCCCCCTAGGAAGGAGAGAGACGACCTAGCCGAGTGGTCGCAAGTCGTTTCCAGCACCCCCCATCTCCAGTGTGATTCTCAAGGTAGAGGACTGGGGGAGAACTTAAATTAACTTTGCAAAGTGCCCTGAGAGCCGACTCCTTCTAGAAAATCACACCCCCAAATGTTTACAATTATTTCACCCAATCCTTTCCTCATTTGTGTTCATATATACCAAACATTTCCAAAGTATTCAATTTATCTTCTATAGAAATTTTTTTTTCTAGCCGAAATTTCATCCATTTATAGTGATTATCACACCCAGTGAATCTCAGGTAATGCGGACTGCAAGGTGCACCATGATTTATATGCCACCAAAAAAGAAAACACATGGTCCACTCAATATCACATGCTATTATTGTAAGAAAGATCCTGATTTCAGTGAGAGTGTTTTCACCCAGAGTCAGTGGTAAATGATGCCACAGGCACAAGGCAGTCCAGACAGGTAAGGAAACCAGTACAGATGACTCTGTACACCTGGTAACCTCAGGGGTGGAGCTGAGCCCTGTGGACGTGCTAGAGAAGTCCACGTCGGCCACGGCTGTGTGCCCTGTGCCCTGCAGGTGGGACCCATTGCAGGTGAGGCTGGTGGGCAGTGGCTGGAGGTTGGACGGGAGTCTACATAAGATGGCAAATAAAAAATTAAAACTCTCCGAAAGAACTAAGATCCATATATATTCCTTCCTTGTTATAGCCCCAAATACCACACAGCTATTGAAGTCCTGCTGGCTGATAAAGGCTGGCCACTGTGCAGAGCAACAAGGACTCTGGGGCCTGGCTGGTGGGAACCCGGACGCTGCCACCAGTTTGGAAAATGGGAGGGCCCCATCAGGAGAGGGTGGGGGTGCGGGCCGGGGCTCAGGACTACACGGTGTGGGTGCCGGGCAGAAAGGCACACGCAAGGTCTCAGGACCGTGCCTGACAGACAGCCCTGAGCTGGGGGCAAGTCGTCCGGGGCAAAGGCGGGGGGCATGGGTGCAGGGATGGGGGGCACGGGGCATGAGGGGTGCGGGTGTGAGGAGAACACTCTCAAGTGCTGAGACAGACCAGCCCCAGTGGCACCTGGCACCACAACGACTCTCCCAAATGCAGTGATGAGCAAAAGACAGACACAGCAGAAAACGCCCAGATGGATCACAAACTTGGGAAACACACCTCTCACTTAGGAAGCCCTGCATGGGGAAAACTGTGTGAGGAGAGCGAGGAAGTCCTTTCCACAGAAGCCAGGGTGACAGCGATCTCGGGGTGTTCTGTTTCTGGGCCCCAGAAAGTTTCCCTATATGTCTGTCTTGTCACTACTTGTTAAGCTGTACAGGAACCCTTCGGGCACCATTTGGGTCTATATGAACTTATTTCAAATAACGAGAAAAGTCCTGCATCAAGCCCCACTCACAAGTGGAGCTCTGTTTCCCACAAGGGGCGCTCACCCTGTCCTTCCTTAGAGTCACCCTGTGACTCAGACACAGACGGTCCCCGCACGTGCCATGCTTCCTGCACCAGCGGCTGCAAGCTGCCTGAAATAGAGCCACTCACGAGCAGGGTGCACTTAGCAAATGTGTATTGATTGGCAAAAAACAGAGCAGTTCAAGAAACCCTTCCATAATGCTTCCTCCACTGCAGGCACGTTGGGTCTGTGCTCTGGGGAGATCGAAGAACAATAAATGTGGTTTCTGATTTCAAGGAACTCTCGACTCAGGTTGGGAGGAAAACAATTCATGTGCCCCTGAAGCGCGACTCGAGGCTGGCTCACTGCGATGCACACGGTAGTGGGTAAGCTGGAACATTCCAGAACCTCTTAACCCCTGAGAGGATAGGGTGCTTAGTGCCGCTGATCAGGTATGCGACAGTACGGGTCAATGCCCTGGTCAGCTGGCTCAATGAGCTCAGCTACCCCTGCCGGCATTCGGGTTTTGTGAGCCCTTTTCTAACTAAGAAAACCAGGAAAGGGCACTTTCTCTGTCAGGGGGCCTGGGACCGGGACTGGGGTCACTAACTGGCTCCGTGAGGCCCTCAGACCGG